GGGTCCTCGGAGCCCGACACTCAAATCTCAGCCTGGTTTTACACAGGGGGACCCTGAGCCCCCAAACTGGAGTGTGATTCAGAGCTGGAAAGGACCTTGGAGATCATTTAACCCAAAGGTTTGTTCATTTACTCTCTCTTTTAAAAGGCGATTTATGCGGTCTGAAGAGAAACCAGAGCATACTCTCTCTTTTAATTGAGACGTTATGTATGTATGCATATATGTATGTATGTGTTAATCTTTCCCATTGATTTTTAGAGACAGCGGAAGGGAGGGGGAGAGACAGAGAAAAATATCCATGCACCAGAATCGAACCTGGGACCTTTCAGTGGATAGACTGAGCCAAACCAGCTAGGGCTAGACTTTATTTATTTATTTATTTATTTACTTCAAAATATTTTATTGGTTTCAGAGAGGAAGGGAGAGGGAGAGAGAGAGAAATATCAATGATGAGGGAGAATCATTGATTGGCTGCCTGCACACCCCACACTGCACGCCCCACACTGGGGATTGAGCCCACAACCCAGGCATATGTCCTGACTGGGAACCAAACCATCGACTTCCTGGTTCATAGGTCGATGCTCAACCACTGAGCCACGCTGGCCCGGCAAGAAGCCTGAACTCTGCATTTTCTTAAGATGGATTTGAGGAACTGCTAGGGCCTCCATCTTCCTGATTGGCACCTTTGGTCAATAAGCCTTTCCTCCCTCCAGACCCTGATGCTTTGCATTTTTGCATTTTGGAGCACTGGGCACATAGACTTGGATGGGTAGCACAGTAAGGTCTTGGGGGCTGGGCGCAAAGCTCCAAGGCCTCTCTGGATGCGCCCACCTCCCAGCACAGTGATGTGTTCACCAACCCAGAAGCTCCTTCTGACTCATGGATTCAGGGTTTTTATGTGGGATTTTATCACAGATGCATGATCAATTCAATCATTGGCCATGTGACTGGACTCAATGTCCAGTTCCTTTCTTTGGTGCTGGAAGTTCTGACATCTAATCACATGGTCAGGCGGACTTGTTATGAATAACAGAAGACACTCCTATCACTCGGGAAATTCCAAGTGTTTTAGCTCTGTGCCAGGAACCAGTGACAAAGACCCAATATATTTTACTATACGATATGTGCCCATCAGCTCCCCCAACTAACTATATAAGCAAAACCCATGGACTTACTTTGCAAATCCAACATCAGGATAAGTCTCTGGCACCCCCTTCCCAATGAATCCAGGAGCTGTCATTGTTTCCCCTTAGGATGCCCACCCCCAGGGTCTAACCCCCCCTCTCCCTTTGCCAGCTGGATGGCCTTGAGCAGGTCACCTCACCTCCAGAGTGGTTTCCTCACTTGTAAAATGGAGAAATAATTCCTGTCTCAGGGAGTTGTCTAATGAAATGATGGGCACCCAAGTGGCTGGCATGCGAGGGCACCCAATAAACACTAGCTACTTCCCTCTCCTCTAACTGTAAGCCCTGGCCCTCCTTCCTGCACTCTGACCCCTGGGGGATGGGACTGTCTGGGTCGTCCCTGTCAGACACTCAAATGAGGCTCCCATCTCCCACACTCACACCCACACACACACCCACACCCAGCACCAGGAACACATACCGTCTGAGCCCTGGCTTCTAGGCCTGGTTTTACCATTAATTAACTGTGTGACTTCATACAAGTCCCATGTCCCCGCTCTTCTCTGGGACTCATTTGTACAGAGAAGTGCTAGGATCTGAGGTTCACCGAGGTGCCTTCCACTCCGACCAAGTCCCCATCAGCGATCAGCACCAGAGTGAAGCAGAGTAAAGCCAATAAAGGTTTGAATAACTTAAAATTTTATTCTGAGAAAAAGTACTGTAAAGACAATTTCCCAAGGTCAAGTTTGGATGAGGAAAGGGAGGGCTGCCTGAGCCTTTGCTGGGGTCAGAGCTGGGACTCAAGGCCAGTACACTGTTGGACTCTGCCCATGGGGTCCCAGCCAAGTCCCGTGAGGCCAAAAGGGACCCAAGACCCTGTGACCTAAACGAGGGAGGGGCAAGGAAGAGGCCCAGGCCAGGCCTCCCCTACCTCTGCAACAGGATTGTAGGCACCATGGGGAGTTGCTACCAACTCCCCCAAGACTAAGAAGGAGGGCTCTTCCCTGAGTCACAGAAAAGGGGTTCACCAGTGCCATCTATCCCAGCGTGGGAATGACCAAATCCTGGACAAGGAGCCCTGCAGAGCACACAGGGGACCAACCCGGTGAGGCAGGGCCGAGGGGGGCCGTCAGGCCCCGAGCTCATCCTTCCACTCCTGCAGCTTCTTGTCCATGGCCCGGAGCGTGGATTCATCCTGCGCCAACACAGATTGGTCCCTCTCTTCTCCCCAGACCCCCAGCGGGCCGTGGGGAGCTGGGGGAGGCCTGCCCTCCCTCCTGCAGCCCTGCCTGTTACCTTCACAAAACAGAAGCGGATATAGTGGTCAAAGTGCTTCTGCTGGGGCACGCTGTAGAAGACGGATACTGGGATGGCCACCAAGCCCTGGGGAGGAGGAAGCCCGTGTCTCAGCAGGCCTCCCGGCTCTCGGGAGGCAGAGGTTTCATGGCGTGGGGGAAGGGCGTTCGCACCAGTGCGCACCCCCAGTGCTATGTCAAGGTCAGAGGGAAAGAATCCCAGAACATCCCACGTCCCTCCGGTGTGTAGAGAGGACATGGAGGCCAAGAGAGGGGTCAGGGCAGAGCCAGAGAGGAAATAAGCCTGAGAATCATAGCTCTGAGCTGGATGACCACAGAGTTAATGGGCCAACTCCTCACTGTACAGATGGCAAGACCGAGGCCCTGGGAGGCCAGGCATTCATTCTGCCAACCCACATGCCACCTTTGCTTGCCATCCTGTACCAGGGCTCATGGCAGAGGCTGGGCTGGAGTGTGGCCCCTTAGCTTCTTGGTCGGCCCGGGAGCAGTGCACAACCTGTAACACCATACACAGGGGCCCCAGCGGAGGCCCCGCCCACCTTGTTCTTGATCATCCACTTGACGAAGCGTCTGTCATAGGGCTCGTTCGCAGCCCCAGGCAGGTCAGGCATCTTGCTCTCTGGGGGACAGAGGCCACGCTGAGCCCTGGGCAACCTCCAGCCCCCCACACCCTGCCCAGCCCGGCCATTCCTCACTGAAGTCCGAGATGTCCGCGACAAAGAAGTAGCTGCCCTGGGGGATCACGGGTCTCAGGCCCACAGACTGCACACTTCGCACCATGTGGTCACGGCTGCGCTGCATGGCCTGTGGCAGCTGCACAAAGTAGCTGCTGGGCTGGCCGAAGTGCAGCTGCTCCCGCTCCAGGCTCTCGGCCACTGCAGCCTGCAGTTGGGGGGGAGTGGGGAGCACGGGAAGGAGGATGCACAAGCGGGTCAGGAGTAGCTGCTGGGCTGGCCGAAGTGCAGCTGCTCCCGCTCCAGGCTCTCGGCCACTGCAGCCTGCAGTGGGGGGGGAGTGGGGAGCACGGGAAGGAGGATGCACAAGCCGGTCAGGCTGACCTGGCCCGGAGCCAGCCGGGCCCTCTCTCCCCCGGGGTGCGGTCCCCTGGCCTCCTCACCTGGGCCTGCGTGGGACAGTGGTAGATCGAGTTCTGATGCACCGTGTACAGGTGCTTCATGAGTCTCTCGGGGCCCAGGACCCAGCCCACCTAGACCGCAAACACAGGTGGGGGTGAGGCCGTTCAGGGCCTGGCCAAAGGTGTCCTTAATTCCCAGCCACCTTTCCTGCCAGGGGCCACGGGGGTGGGGTAATCCCCTAACCTTGTCGACTCACCTTCCAGCCGGTGGCGCTGAAGGTCTTGCCAGCGCTGCCAATGGTCAGAGTGCGTTCCCACATGCCAGGGAGGCTGGCTGCCCAAGGCCAAAGAGAACAGCTGCTGAGATGGGGGCAAGGGGGCAGGGAAGGGGTGGTGGCTGGACCCCAGTGGGCCCTCAGGCTCTCACTCTCAGAGCTCCGATCATGCTGTTTACAGGACTTATTCCAGGTTACCCTCATGACAAGCCTGGGGTGGGTGCCCCTGGTCACATGACCTGTGTGCCTCCAGACCCTTAGGCCCTAATCATCAGGCCTGCTGCTGCCTCCCAGATTGGGCTCAATGCCCTGGCACAAATAGCCAGGGGGATGGGGGCACCCTGGCCAGCGGGGCTCACCAATGCTGATGTGCTGGTGCCCATCGAAGACCAGCCACTGGTAGACCTCGTCCGTGATGCACAACACGTCATGCTGCTGGCACAGGCGGGCTATCAGCTCCAGTTCTGCCTTGGAGAACACCTGTGGGCCGTCCCCAATCACAGGCCTGCTCAGAGAGGTAAAGGGCACATCCAAACCCAGAGCCTTTTTGCCCCATCCTACTGAATCCCCACAACACTGATCCTGTGAGTTAACGGAAAAATATAGCCCGAGCTGGTTTGGCTCAGTGGATAGAGCATCAGCCTGGGGACTGAAAGGTCCCAGGTTCGATTCTGGTCAAGGGCACATGCCCGGGTTGGGGGCTTGATCCCCAGTAGAGGGCGTGTAGGAGGCAGCCGATCCATGATTCTCTCTCATCATTGATGTTTCTCTCTCTCTCTCCTTCTTCCTTCCTCTATGAAATCAATAAAAAATATATATTTAAAAAAAGAGAGAAAAACATATTTTGGTCTCTGCCCCTGGTTCCTGGCACAGAGCTCCTGAAACCCTTGAAATGCCTAAGTGATAAGAGCGCTGGGTACACCTTTTGTTCTAATGAGGCAGCTCTGGGTGGGGTCCTGGGCAGGGCTGGTCCTAGAAAGACCAAGCCGGAATGAGAAGCCTGGATTTTTCAGCCCCACTTTCCTAGAGAGGGAGAGGGGCTGGAAATGGAGTTACTCATTGGTTATGCCTACGTGATGAAGTCGCCATAACCCCAATCACGTGGGGCTCAGAGAGCTTCCGGGTTGGGCACCCGAGAGGGTGATGCAGCCCTACTCCCTGGGGACAGACACTCCTGTGCTTGAGGCCCTCCCAGGCCTCGCCCTATGGATCTCTTCATCCGGCCGTTCACCTGCGTCCTTTATCACGTTCTTTAATACGCTGGCAAACGTTTTCCCTGAGTTCTGGGGGCTGCTCTACAAATTAATTGAACCCAAGGAGGGGGTCATGGGAAGCTCAGATTCCCAACTGCCTGGTCAGGGGCACAGGTGACCACCTGGACTTGGGGACTGGCATCCGAATCTCTCCAGGAAGACAGGGTCAGAACTGAACTGAGTTAAATTGTAGGGCACCAGGCAGGTGTCGCAGAATTGCTTGGTGTGGGAAACCCCCCCATCTGGTATCAGAAGCATGAGTGCGCGAGTCGTGCGTGAGTGTAGGAGACACCCAGGAGGAAGACTGGGTTTTCCTTCACACTGGTTTTGTCATGTTCCCATTTTACAGATGAGAAAACACTCCGAGAGGTGAAGCCACTGTCTCCGGGCCATGGGGAAGTAGGTATGGAGGCACCCAGCCCGCTCCACCACCAGCCCTCTCACCCTCACAGCTCACACAGGCAGCCCTCCTGCTCCAGAGGAAGAACCTGAGGCCCCGAGGCGGCAAATCAGTAAGCGTGTGGGCTTGAACCCAGTGCAGAGGGGTCCCCAGAAGGTCTCAGTACCTTTCCCAGGGGGTTGTTGGGTGTGTTGAGGACTAGGGCTTTGGTGCGAGATGTGAACTTGCTGGCCAGCTCCGTGGGGTCCAGCTGCCAGTTGCTGCTGGAATCCAGTTCCCCATCCCGGGTGGGGGTCTGCAAGAGGGAGGCAGTACTTGCTTCCCTGGCAGTCAGTGCTAAGGATCTGACCCTCTTCCCCTGCCACTGTCCCCACCCTCTCCCCATCCTGGAGAAACGGCTTTCCTTCCTTCCTTCCTCCCTTCCTCACTCCCTTCCCTTCCTTCCCTCCCTCCCTCCCTCCCTTCCCTCCCTTCCCTCCATCCCTTCCCACCTCCTAGGGTCCAACACAGCACATTCCTTGGACCCCTCTGCCCACCCTCACCCCAACCAGCATTCTCACCGGCTTCAGGGGCACAAACACAGGGCAACCCCCTGCCATCAATGTCATGGGCTCGTAACAGTCAAAAAAAGGCTCGATGATGATGACCTGGTACAAGGGTCAGATGAGCTGAGGTCAGTATCGCCCTGACCCCTCGCCCCCACCAGGCCCCAGCCCTGCCCCACTCACCTCATCTCCTTCGTCCACCAGGGCCTGGAAGGCTGTGAACAGGGCCCCGTAGGCACCCACAGTCACCAGCACGTTCTTTAGAGGGTCTATCTCCTGTCCCAGCAGCTTCCCAAAGAAACTGGCCAAGATCTTGGTCAGTGGTGGGTAACCCTGCCAGGACAGAGGGGTCAGCCGCCCGGCTCAGCCTCGGCCCGCCCACCAGCTCAGCTGCATCCCGGCAATTCGAGCATCTTCTAGGGGCAGGCCTGGGGCAAAGTCAGCTCCTGTGGGGTGAGTCCTTTAATCTCCCCCGTAACACCTGCTATGACCTGTTCTGTGCCAGCCCAGTGCCCAGGGCTGGGGTATGGTGGGGAACCAGACAGAGCGTGCGCCTTCGTGGGGCACAGCCCAAGACAGCAGCCAGAGCAGCGGCAGCTCCACACCTAGAACACCTCCTTTTAAGTTCAAGGTGCACATTCGTGCCATCTGATCCTCCCAGCAACCTTGCAAGAAAGGCACTGTTTTTTTTTCTATTGATGTCAGAGAGGAAGGGAGAGGGAGAGAGAGAAACAATGATGAGAGAGAATCATTGATCGGCTGCTTCCTGCACGCCCCCTGCTGGGAATCGAGCCCACAACCCGGGCATGTGCCCTTGACTGGAATCAAACCCGGGACCCTTCAGTCCACAGGCCGACACTCTATCCACTTAGCCAAACTGGCTAGGGCAAGAAAGGCATTATTTGATTCCCACCATTTGGCAGGTAGAAAAACAGAGACCCAGAAGAAGGAAAGGACTTGCCCAAGGTCACGCAGACGAAGTGCAGGAATAGGGTTTTATGCCGCAGCTTTGAAAGGATCCCATTGGGAGAGGAAGACTGGGTCGTACACTTGTTTGCTGAGGACACTTACAAAACCCTCAAGGCTAAGCCAAGTGAGGCAAGTAACTGAAACTAAAGATGGAGAATTTAACCAAATAATCCACTAAACCAGGCTTGACCACATAAAAATGAAAAATGTCTGTACAGCAAAATATACCAGGAGCACACTTGAAAGACAAAGAGAAAAAACAATGCAAGGTAAGAAAATCAGGTAAGATATTTAATATATAAAGAGCTCTTACGAAGCAACAAGACAAAGGTACACACCCAAATGAAAAAACGAGGTAGGTCACAAAAGAAAAAGTATGGAAGCCCGATGTGCATATGAAAGAATAATGATTGAAGAAAAGCAAATGAAAGTAACATTGAAATGGTGCTATATTATAAGAAAATGATGTCACCATTAGCAAGTATTTAAAAGCTTGATAATGCCCGTGGTTGGCAAGAGTGAGACAAAAGGTTCTTCTTTCACCCAAATAATAAACTTTCCTGCCAGCTCTGAGGCCAGTCTGTTGGTGGGACTGTGAGTAAACCTTCCTGTAGGGCAATCTGACAATATCGATCATGTGCTTAAATGCTTATGCCCTTTAGTTCTCTAGTTTTACTTCAAGGGATGTATCTGAGAGAAACACTCACACACCTGTACAAAGAGACACACACAGAGCTATTTACTGTGACACTGTTCATAACAGTAAGATACCCAAGCCAGCCCAGCAGGGCAGAGCTGGTTAAGCAAATCATGGCACATCTAGGCAATGGAATACTATGCAGCCATGAAAAAGAACAGGGGCTCTTTGGACATGGCAAGTTGTCATGCTGTTTACGGAAATAAACACGTTACAGAATGTTATTTATAGTATCAGTCCATTGGTGTTACACACAAGTCTCGCACGTAGGTATATAAGCATGTGTGTGGGTAAGATACCCAAGCCAGCCCAGCAGGGCAGAGCTGGTTAAGCAAATCATGGCACATCTAGGCAATGGAATACTATGCAGCCATGAAAAAGAACAGGGGCTCTTTGGACATGGCAAGTTGTCATGCTGTTTACGGAAATAAACAAGTTACAGAATGTTATAGTCTGAGTCCATTGGTGTTACACACAAGTCTCACATGTAGGTATATAAGCATGTGTGTATGTTTTTTTATGTAAGCATTTTTAAAGGTTAAAAGTTTAAAAGTCTGAACACTCTAACCAAAGTGGCAAATTGTTGGCAGTGGTTGTCCCTGGATGGTGGACTTGGAGGGAACATGCCTCCTGACAATTCCGATGCACACCAACGTTGAAGAACCATTGTTCTACTCCCAGGGTTGGCAAATAGCTACTCTGTGGCCCTTTACAGAAAGTGTTTGAATTTAGAGTCAAATCAACTAGTAGCTTGTCTTTCAGGGCTCTGCTTACGTGTCACCTCCTCCAGGCAGCCTTCTCTGATCCCTCCTTCTTCCTGCCCCATTTCCCTCCATCACCGCATATCAACTGCCTTTGTTTTCTGGTGTGTTTTTTTGTGTTTTTTCCCCTTGGTTTTCGTCTGCCTCTTCCCAGACCATGAGCTGTCCCAGCCAGAGCCCAACACAGAGGACATACTCAGTGAACACTGAACTATGGCTGGACTGAGTATCCTGGGCTCTTCCCCCTCCTTCCCCGGGCTCATCAGAAGCCTGTGTCCAGGGGCCCGGGAGGGACGGGGAGACTCACAAATGCCCTCGTATATTGGTTGAGCATGAAGTCCCCGCTGACGGCGTGCTGAAAGGCTTCCACGGCGAAGTCTGGAGGCGGGAAGTCGGGGAAGCCTTGTCCCAAGTTCACAGCATCATACTCACTGGCCAATTTGGTAAACTCCACCCTGGGCAACAAATGGAGAGTCGGCACCAGCCCCTCCCTCCACCCCGACCTGGACTTCCACCTGTTTCCAAGGCAGGGTGAGCAATGCACGGGGCTCGTTCTAGAGAAACTGGACAGCTAGCGTCCACCCTGGAGATGAGTGTCAGGCTCATCGCTGGTAACATGCTCTTCCATTAGGGGGGCCGGGCACTGTGCCGATCCCATGTCTCAGCCCAGGGGCTTGCAAACTTTCAGACCATGATCCATAGTAAGAAATCATCTTTATATCACAAACCCTCCTGGAATTACATTCTCCTTCTGGTGTGATCTAGTGCCTAGCCTAGCCTAGCCTACTCAATTCTTCAGAAACACTTCTTGTCGAGCCCCTCCCAAGTGGATTTCATGACCCATTTGTGCCCTTGCCAACCCCAGAGTGAAATGCTTGCTCCTGTAGCCTCCCCGATGTGCACGAGCCCGTCCTGTTCCTGGGTCACAGTGAGGATGGAGAAGCTGAGGTTTGGAGGGACCTGCCCCGTGAGTCCAAGGCACAGCCAGAGTGACTCCACATCTGTCTGGAGCAAAGCTGATGCTCTCGATCCTTACGCTGGGCACACAGGAGCCCCGCCAGCCCAGCGTCTGCCCTCAACAACCTTTCTTCTGGGCCTGCCTGGTGGCCACCTCTTCAGGGAGATGGGAGAGAGGCGGGGAGGCTGGAGGAGGAGGCTGGTATGGGTTCCAGGCTGGCTGGGGGCAGAGTAGTCAGACTTGTCTGAGTTACATTTGAATACAATAGCTATCATGTCTAGTGTGGGGAAGCACAGAACTCGGAAAGTTTGTAAGGAGGACATTCCGAAAAAATGAGTGGGCTGAAGGTGGCCCACCCTGTTTATCAGAATTCTGATTAGGGGAGTGCAGAAGGCGGCACCCCTAATTATTCCTTGACCTTTCCAAACAAGTCTGTGCATGTGCAGACCCTTGGGTGTTTACTGGAATCCTGACGCTTAATCTTTAGGTGTCCTTACTTAAAGGACACTGTAGGCACACGTGTCCCCCCAAATTACTTACCCTACTGATTGTATCTAAAAGATAAACTTTATCTCAAACTGCTGCTACAATAAAAGCCTGAAGAGGCAGGCGATTGAGGCTGTCTGGTTCCTTTAGCCAGGCAGTCCCTTAGCCCTCTCTTTCATAGCAATCGTGTGTCAGAGTGTTCATTCATCTGTCGCTCAGGGTCTGCTGGTCAGCCCAGCAGTCTAGAATCAGTCATTTTCTCCCCAGAGTTCCATGATGCCCCTGAAGACACATGAAGCTGCTGAGGCTCAGAGAGGCCAGGGACCTGTCCAGAATCACACAGCAGCTAATGGCAGTGCTCAGGTGGTGGATGTTCCACGGTAATTAGGACAAGGGAGCCAGGCTCAAACACTCTACAGAGACTGGCTGCCCTCGGGCCACCACCCTGGGGTCCGCAGGAACCTGGAGGGAGCCCTTTGTTACCCTGACTCTCATGGCCTTGATCCCTAACACTCCCCTCCTGCCCTGTGCATTCTGGCCAGGCCCACTCCTGCTCTGCCCTGCCTTTGCATGAGACTTAGCCTCTCCTGGCCTCAGTCTCCCCTTCTGTACAATGGGGGTGGTTGGCTCCAGGGTCTACCAGGTTGTGAGTCAGGAAGGAATCTTGTCTCCCCTCCCGGCCTGCCTCCTCGTATTCCCTGTTCTGAGTTGCACTTTACCTTAATCTGCAAAATGGGCCACCAGGCTGCCTAGTCTGCTGCACAGAGAGGACGGAGGGGGGCAGTTTGAGGATCAGCCAGACTCTACAGGGAACTTGGGCCTGGCTCCCTCATCCCAAACACCATGGAGCAGCGAAGGAGAAGATGGAGGAGGAAGATCTTCGCAAAACACAAAGTTCTGTACACGGGGGCAGTTTGAAAGAAAGAATCTTCCCGTGTTGTATAAAAAAAACACACAAAACAGCCAACAATCTTTTTAAGTACAGAGGTGTCTCTATGTTCCAGGCCCAGGTCGGGTGTGGCCGGAAGATCATGAACTCTTCCTCACACATCTCCCCACTGCATCCATCTATCGCCAGTAACTGGGCACCGATCCTCCCATATTCAGAACAAGTCGGTGAAGAAAGGAGCTTAATCTCAGCTTATGTCCAGTGAAGAGCACCTGTATCTTACCTTCCTAGCGTGACTCACTCTGTCCGAAGTGTGAAATAAAACAGCCCCCAGCCTGTGCCTGGGTAGCCTATTGCTATCATGCAGTATTTTGTCTTAACCTCCCAAGGCCGTTCGAGAGAAATGAAATTATCTCCCTTTTGCAGCTGGGGAGCTGGGGGTCCGGGCAGGTGTCAGGAGAGCAGTTTGGAACCCAAGCCTCTGCTTCAGGACTCGCCTCTCGTGGGCTGTGGCTGCAAATCTGACTGTCCTGGGTTCCGCTGAGTTTCTGCAGACCTAGGGACCGGGACCTCCAGCCCTGTCCTGCCCCCACGACCGAGGGGCACCCCCACACCTCCCCGGCGCCTGCCCACTCACCACGGGTTGTGGTCGATCCCATCCAGCCTTCGTGCATGCAGCCTTTTGGCCATGGTGAGCTGGAAACAGAGCAAATGGAAGGTCAGAGTGAAGGAGGTACTGCAGCCTGGGCCTCTAGGAAGACAGGGAGCCTTCCCCGAGCCACCACCTTCAACACAGCCCTGCCCACCACTCCCCAGGAGGAGGCTCCAGCCGCCTCCCCCACCTGCGCCCTCCGGACTCGGCATTTCAGCAGGCTCTGCCGGCCTGGACTTGCCCCCCCTGCCAGGCTGGCTCCACAGCCTATCCATCAGGTTAAAGTTTGACTCAGGACAGGCTGGGGCTGAGGAGCAGGAGGCAGGGGGAGGTGAGAGCAGGGGAGGGATCATGGCAACAGTGACAGTGGCGGCTTCTGTGCACAGGGGACTGGCCGCACTCTTCACTCACTTCTCAGAACCATCTGGCGGGGCCCATCTTAGAGATGAGAAAACCGGGTGGGAGTGAGGTGTTCAAGGTCACACAACCAGTACACTCAGACCCAGGCCTGTTGGAGATGAGGCCATGTTCTGACTCCGGTGAACTGGCTCCGTTCTGGGGGGCTCAGGGCCCTTCTCCAGCCACCCTCCTTCCCCTGTATTCCCTCCGGGGCAGCGTCCTCCTCATCCACAGGTGCCCCGACACCGGCCAGGTGACTTAGCTCCTCCTGGCCTCAGTCTCCCATCGGCAGAATGGGAGCGTGGGCTTGGGGGTCCCTCTCTCAGCAGGTTTGTGAGTCTCGCGGCTGGCAGGGAGCAGAGCCAGGTCTTTCATGTTCTCCTGCCACCTGCTGTGCTAACAGGGAGCCCCTCCTGTTTCTCCTGGTCTCGCGCTGTCCCCACAGCGTCCCTATCAGAGGTGCCATGATAACCTCCCTCTGCAGATGAAGACATGGGGCTCAGAGAGGTTCAGGGACCTGCCCACGGTCAGAGGAGGGGCCGGACAGGACCCTGGTCAGGGCTGCTAGCACCAGGCCCCTGTCCCCAAGGACCCGGGACCCTCTGTAGATGGGCCAGGTTTTCCCATAGCCCGAGAGTCCTGCCAATGTGAGCGATTCCAAGAGAGCCCAGCATGGGGATGGCACCTAGTAGGTGCTTTGCTGACATTGGTACCGTCCCTTCACTGAATCCCTGACACCCATCACCAGGCCTGGTGCTCAGTACATGTCAAAATAGTTTAAATTTTTTATGTATTGATTGAGTTTAGAGAGAGGAAGGGGGGAAGAGAGAGAGAGAAAAATATCGATCAATTTGTTGTTCCACTGATTTATGCATTCATTGGTTGATTCTTTTTTTAAAATATATTTTTATTGACTTAGAGAGGAAGGAGAGAGAGAGAGAGAGAGAGAGAGAGAAACATCAATGATGAGGCAGAATCACTGATCAGCTGCCTCCTGCACCCCCACTACTGGGGATGGAGCCCGCAACCTGACTGGGAATCAAACCGTGACCTCCTGGTTCATAGGTTGACGCTCAACCACTGAGCCATGCTGGCCAGGCATTGGTTGATTCTTATATGTGCCCTTCACTGGGAATCGAACCCGAAACCTTGGCATGTTGGGATAATGTTCTAACCAACTGAACTACCCAGGGTAGCCAGGGCCAGATTTTCTAAAATAAATGTTTTCTTTTTATGACTAAAAAATGTGGAAGAAAATTACATTTTAGGAGAACAATATCAATGACGTGCTGACATCAGTAAAACAGGCTACAAAATAATATGATGTTTTATAAAAAACATACCCTAGCATATATTTGTATATACATACACTTTTTTCTATGACGCTATATGAGTAGAAAAAAATTTGGAAGGAAATATATCAAAATGTTAACAAAGGTTCTATACGAGTGGCAACATTATAGGTGATTTAATTTCACGTGTATGCTTTTCTGCTTCCAGGTTTTTCACATGGAGATCATACCATATCCAATGGGTTCTGATGTGTGCATTGTTTTGCATTGCACGTTCTCTGAATTTGGATGTCTTACAATCTATAGCACGAGTTTGAATGGCATTTTCCCCCTTCACTTGTCCAAAAAATAACAGTGCACCTCACAATTGATGGCATCCTGGATACAATGATACAACAAATTACTTTTGAATTAGGAATGCATCATATTTAAAAAAAGGCAAAGATGAGTCAGGAGCAGTGTGGGGAGAGGGGAATAGAAGTTGGAGTGGGGGAAGTTTGAGGAGGGTTGGGATGGGAAAGAATAGAGGGGTGCAGGGGCACACAGAGAGAAAAAGGAGGTGAATGCGTTTAGGAAGGAGATAAAAATAATGGGGGACTGCAGAAACTTGGGGTGCTCAAAGGAGTGACCTTCAAGTATGTCACACAGCTCTTGGCCAGTGAGGCAGCAGTGCCTGTTCTCAGGCTGACACATAATGTATTCATTCAGTGAGCGTTTACTGAGCACCGACTGTGTACCCAACATGGGCTGGGCGCAGCGGGTGATGGGGAGGCAGCAGCACCAAGCAACCATTCAGATGCAGAGCTACAAGTGCTAGATTAGAAGCAAAGGCAAGGGCGGGACCCGCATTCAGGGTGCAGTCAGGGAAGGCTTCCTGAAAGAGGAGGCTCATGCGTGGGTTTGAAGCCAGGACCAAGCCAGATCCCAGGGGCCCTGGGCCACGCAGGCAGCAGAGAGCACTTACAGTCTGGTGCAAGCACCGGCTGAGGGAAGCTCCAGCCTTCTTTCTCTGCAGGGACCCCACCAGGTGCAAAGAGATGGCTGCCGAATTCCTGAACATGCCTCCCAGAGCCTCGGGACACTGACGACTTCTCCTCCAGGGGCAGAGGAGAAGGGAGCGGAACACCCCGGCCCAGGGCTTGAGTCTCACACACACAGCTCTAATGACAATAACAATAAGGGCTAGTATTTATCGAGTGGCCACTGTGCATCAGGCAGAGCAATTCGTGCTCTGTTGTAGGATTATCCCTCAGCCCTCAAAACCACCAGTGACACCCCCACACCCAGCAACCAGGGTGACCCTTTAGAATTGTAAATCACCTCTAATGAAAATTTAAAAAAAAAAAGATCCAGGTGAAGATCATGAATAGCTCCTCACATCACAGAGTCAACTCTATGTTCTGACTCTGGAAACACACACCACCTGCATGTTATCCTTGTGCTAAAATCAAATCTACATCAAATAAGGCCTCTGGGTCATTAACATACAAGGGTCAGAAGGCCCTAACCAGTTTGGCTCAGTGGGTAGAGCGTCAGCCTACGGACTGAAGGGTCCCAGGTTGCGGGCACATCCCCAGTAGGGGGTGTGCAGGAGGCGGCTGATCGATGTTTCTCTCTCATCGATGTTTCTAACTTTCTATCCCTCTCCCTTCCTCTCTGTAAAAAAATCAATAAAATATATATTTTTTAAGAGTCAGAAGAACATGTTAAGAGACACCACAGAGAGACAATCAGGGAAGGAGGAGTGCCTGATCATGGCTCCAGGGTATCTTTTTGGCCTGATGAAAATGTTCTGAAATAAAATGTTCCAGCAGATTCAGACGGATGGAACTGCCATAAAACAAATGACCCTGTTTCTTCAACAAATAAAATACAAGGGAGGGAAAACCTGGGGCACCATATATCAAAAGAGACTTAGCAGACACACATTTAAAAGGTCAAAGCCTCTAAAAAGAAGAAAAACATTGGAGGACTCACTGCACATCATTTACTAAAAAAAGCTACAGGAACCAAGAAAGTATGGTACTGGCACAAGGATAGACAAATACATCAATGGAGTGGAACTGAGAGTCCAGAAATAAACTCTCACTTGCATGGTCAATTGCTTTTTGGCAAGAGTGGCAAGAAAATTCAATAAGAAAAGAATCACCTTTTCAGCAAATTGTGTGGGGACGACTGGATGTCCACATGCAAAAGTATAAATTTGGAACCTCACCTCACATCATACACAGAAATGAACTCGAAGTGGATCACAGACCTACATGTAAAAGCTAAAATGATAAAACTCCTGGAAGAAAACAGGAGTACACCTTTGTGACCTTGAGTTAGAAGATGGTCTCTCATGTACATCAAAAGTACAAGCAACAGAAGAAAAACAACAGATAAATTGGACTTAATTGAAATGAAAAACTTTTGTGCCTCAAAGGATACTATCAAGAAAGTGAAAAGACAACCCATGGTATGGGAGAAAGTACTTGAAATCATAATAGATAAATGACTAATAAGCACATGAAAATATGCTCAACATCATTAGTCATTAGGGAAATGTCCCATTAAGATGCCACTGCAGCCCTGCCTGGTTTGGCTCAGTGATAGAGCGTCAGCCCGAGGACTGAAGGGTCCCGGGTTTGATTCTAGTCAAGGGCATGTACGTTGGTTGCAGGCTTGATCCCCAGTAGGGGGCGTGCAGGAGGCAGCTGATTCATGTTTCTCTCTCATCGACGTTTCTAACTCTCGATCCCTCTCCTTTCTTCTCTGTAAAATCAATAAAATATATTTTTTAAAAAAGAATTTAAAAAAGAAAAGGAAAATAAGTTTTAAAAAATCCTCACTTGAGGATATGTTAAAAAAAGAAAGAAAGAAAAAGATGCCACTGCACACCCAGTAGGATGGCTGCTATAACAAAGACGATGGATAATTGTGCTTGAAGATGTTGAGATGTTGGAGCCTTGTACACTGCTTCTGGAAATGGAAAACACCCTAGAAATTCCCCAAAATGTAAACTATAGAGCTCCCATTAGACCCAGCAATTCCAACCCTACATATCTACCCAAGAGAAATGGAAACATGTCCACGCAAAAACTAGAACATGAATGTTCATAAGCAGCATTACTCGTAACTGCCAAAAAGTGGAAGCAACCTAAATGCCCATCAATTGACGAACAAAATGTGGTAAATCCATAAGATACAATATCAATGAACAGTAAGAGGAAGCGGAGTACACGCTGCAACCCTGCAACCTGGGTGGACCTTGAAACTGTGCTAAGTGAGAGAAGCCATCTCCCGAGGTGACACACCGTGGAATGTCCCTCCTCAGATAATAATCACACTCAGATAATAATTCAAATTATGTGATTCCACCAATATGAAACAGGCAAACCTATAGAGACAGAGAATAGGTCAGTGATTGCCTTGGTCTGGGTGTGGAGGGGCGGGTGGGACTAAGGAATGCCTGATAATGGGTGCGGCGTATCTTTTTGGCCATGAAAATGTTCTAAAATTAGCTTGTGGTCATGATTGCACAAATGTGAATATACTAAGAACCACCGAATAGCACACTTTATATGGCTGAATTACATGGTGCATGCATTGTTATATCTTAATAAAGCAGGTTTTTTTTAATTGCCACTGCCAAAAAAAAATAAAAAAAAAGGCAGTGCCCTTGCGGTAGCCATGGGCATGTGTCTCTCTGATGTGACTGAGGGGACAGCTGTGCCCTTAGCATCGAGGCCAAGCCTCCAGGGCTGGGCCTGGACGGCGAGACGGGCTGTAGCTGGCAGACACTGGCAGACACGGCGCTCCAGGGCTCCCATCGGCTTTGCTGGGACTTTCTGAGAACTGGCCCGCAGTCGGAGCCTCTTCCTTCCAGCCTCCCTCCTTCCTCTTTCCTCGGAGGGGGTCCGGCCCAGCCCTGGAGACGGAGTGGGTGTTTAGGGGCAGGGGGCTGCTCTCGAGGGCGCTGTGGGCACCGGCCCAGTCCTGTGGGAGTCAGGCAGGGCTCCCAGGAGAATGTGGCCTCCAAGCCGGGAGGGAAAGCGTGTCCCGCGGAGAGAGTGGTGCAAAGGCCCCGGGCGGAAGGGAGCCGGGAGTTTCCAGGAGCTGAGCAATCAGTCCGGCCAGAGTCCACCCGCTCATTTCTCAGAATTGAGTCAGTTCCCAGGGACATCCTGAGGAAGCACTCCCTGGCCCCTGAGGCCAAGCACCAGAGCTGGGAGCAGGAAAGGGCAGTGTGATTATTATCTGAGGAGGGACAGTCCGCGGTGTGTCACCTCAGGAGATGGCGTCAGCGTGCTTCGGCCTCACTCAGCCAGGTCTGAGCCCAGGTCTGAGCCCAGGGCAGGGCACAGTCGGCGCCCTGTGCCTGCTGGGTGTTCTGGGGGACCAAATGGCCCGCCTGCCTGGAATTGAGGGTTTTCTTAGGACAGTGATGGTGAACCTATGACACGTGTGTCACAGGTGACACGGCGAACTCATTTTTTTTGGTTGATTTTTCTTTGTTAAATGGCATTTAAATGTATAAAATAAATATCAAAAATATAAGTCTTCGTTTTACTATGGTTGCAAATATCAAAAAATTTCTATATGTGACACGGCACCAAAGTTAGGGTTTTTCAAAAGGCTGACACGCCGAGCTCAAAAGGTTCGCCATCACTGTCTTAGGACATGGGATTTGCAAGGGACCCTCCTGGGCAAAGGGGATGCTGGTTCCCTTCGCTGGGAGAAGGCAGGTCGCCGCCCCTGTCCTGGGCCTGATGTCCTGCTGACTCGCCCAGAAGTACTCAGTCCTCCAGGGACCCTCTGCCGCCGCCCAACCACCTGGTTCAAATCTGGGGGTGCCGCTGGCTGGTCCTCTCTGACACCCTCGCCCACATCGCTCCACGTCTATCAATTCTGTCCTTTCTCCTAAAGCGACTACACCTCCTCTGCCCTAAATCATGCCTTTCTCGTTCACTGGCTTGCAGTGGGTGGGTAGCAGGAACTCACTCAGCTCTCACCTGCCGAGCTCTCACTCTGCGCCAGGCACTGCGGCACGGACTGAACCCATGTCACCGGAAACAGGTGCTGTCCTCACCCGCACTGCCAGGCAAGGACATGGTAACCATGATAAAATAGCAACTACTACGAATATTGAGCTGCAGAGGCTGGAGGAGGGCCTGCACCACCCGCTGCCCAGGCACGGCAGACGTGCGAACACTGGACAAGGTCCCTGCTCGTGGCCCTGCCCACTTCCCCGCCACAGTCTCAGCCCCTCAGCCTCTTTGGGCCCTGCTGACTCTTGGGGCTGGAGGTATCCTGGGCCACCTGGCTCCATAGAAGGCCAGGCTCACTGCCCTGGACACTAGGGTGGGGCTTTTGCTGCAGGAGACCGCCAGGGCAGGGGGCGGTGTGTGTGCCCAGGAGAGTCTGTGGGCAAGGGAGTGAGCATCACTGAACCCTTGGTGCCCACCCAGGCCCAGGCCCTTGGGAGATGATGACAACACGGGCTTTGGTGTCATGAGGACCCCTGTGGTCTGACCGGAGGCGAGTCACGTTGTGTCTCCACATGTCAATTTCCCTCTCTATCAAGGAAATAAAATATGGGAATTCACGGAAAGCAGTTCACTTAGTGCCTGGCACAGAAAAGGTGCCCAGGAAATGGCTAATGTTAACAATAGCTTGGGAACTTTATGAATATTCAGGGAGTTGATATACTATGGCACAAGGGGCTAGATGTGTGTGAACCCGCTCCTGTTTGCTGGCAGGGCTGACTTCTCCATCAGACCTTCTCAGAAGGCATAGTGCCACGGGCCCGCCATACTTTGAGGGGCCCATGAAAGTGTTTTCATCTTAATTTATTTTAAAATAAGAAAATAAGAGAGAATATGACAATAATGAATATATAATAATGAATTCAGCCTGGATGCTATTCATTCTTTACATAGCAACACAGTTGTGAAATATAACTTTTATTTCTTTTCTAACAGAGAAAGGGGACATGGACATCTTAATGTGACCTTGAACGTAGGTAAACCCATGTGTGGCTGTGACGTCATGTGCAAACATGAGCGTGTCACTTGAGCATGTGCACATATCTGTCTGTGTGTGTGAGCATGTGGGTGTGGTGGGGGCAGTTTCCGGGAATTCGAAGGGGAGGGAGAAACCACTGGGGTCCCAGCTAAGG